TTTGCCACCACAAAGAGAACTGCTAGAAATATTTTAGAACACATAGGTTCTTTTCCATTTTCCCTAATCATCTTAGGAAACAGACCTAATAGTGGTATTTCTGGGTCAAAAGGTATAGGTAGTTTAATAACTCTTTGGGCATAATTCCAAATCTCTCTCCAAAATGTTTGGATCAGCTGACAGATCCACTAACAATAAATTAAGGTCCCAATTTTTCCACATCCCCGCTAATATTTGTCACTTTGCCCTTCTATCGTTTTAGCCAATCTGATAGATGTAAAATGATATCTCAAGGCTGTTTTAATTTGCATTCCTCTAGTCAATAACAATTTGGGCATTTTTTCGTATAACTACACATTGTTTTGATTTCTTCATTGGAAAACTGCCTGTTCGTATCCTTTGACAATTTGCCAATTGGAGAACGGCTTGCATTCTTTTAGATTTGACAAAGTTCTTTGTATATTTGAGATGAGACTTTTATCTGAGGAACTGTCTACAAAATTTTTTCCCAGTTTTCCTTATGCTTTCCTTATGATCTTGGTTCATTTGTTTTATTTGTACAAAAACTTTTTAATTTAATATAATCAAAATTTTCCATTTTATATCTCACAACACTTTCCATCTCTTGTTTGTTCATAAATTGTTCTTCTATCCGTAAGTCTGATAGGTAATATGTTCCATGCTCTTCAAATTTTCTTGTAATATCTCCTTTTATATCTAAGTCATATATCCATTTTGACTTTATCTTGATAAATGGTGTAAGATATCAGTCTATGCCCAATTTCTGCCAGACTGCTTTCCAGCTTTCCCAACAATTTTTTTTTACCAAATAATGAATTCTTATCTCAAAAACTTGAGTTTTACACTTGTCCAACACTGGGTTACTATATTCATTTGCTGCTGTAGATTGCATGGCTACTCTGATCCACTCATCTACCTTTCTATTTCTTAGCCAGTATCACATAGTTTTGATAATTACTGCCTTATAAGATAGTTTAAGATCTGGTACTGCTAAACCCCCTTCCTTTATAATTGTTTTTTAATCTTTTGATTTCATTTTAATATTTTTATTAAATGTATATTACATTGATATATTATTTCATATAAATGTAAAATGTAAATACATGTATTATTATTTATTATATATTATATTATAATATATTATGATATACTCTATATATTTTATGTTATATTAACATTCAATATTTATATAAATATAAAATAGAAATATATTTATAGTATATAATAGAAATATAAAATAGAAATATATTTATGTTATATTTATATGTTATATATTACATTACATTATGTTTGTTGTATTTTATTAATAATATTTTATTATCTAATGGGTTTCTTGCTGTCTTTTTGACCTGTTCTAATTTTCAGAGAGTTCAGTTTGGGGGTACATTTACCACCATCTGTAATAAACAATTCATTCTTCTTGCTATGATTTCCTCCCTAGCTATCCTTTCCTTTCATGTTTTATTTTGCAGCTCTCATTTTCTTTCCTCCAGGTAATCCTTGTGGCCAAGACTTTTTTTTTTCCTCTCCTGAGGCCCTGCTTGGATTTGTTGTGTAATTACTCTCTTCTTCCGAGTTTACCCCTTGGGTGCCTTTCGGTTTATGTATTTCTTTATAGCAGTGGCTTCTTTCTTCTGTTTCCTCATACCTCCAGAGACCGGTTTTAGATTGGGCATTTGTGCTAGGGTTCCACTCTGCTCCCTATCATGCTCTCGAATGGTGAGGTGGAATGAGAAGGTGGAAAGACCCTGCTTGATCCTAGATGTGGGGGCTAAGACCGGGCCCTTTCACATAACAGAAATTCCTGGGTTTTAGCTTTGTCTCCTGAAGACTCCAGGTCATGGTCTTTGTCCTTTCTCTGTCTCCTTCTCTTGAATGGTTAGAACCTGGAGTTGGCTCCATCCTAACAGGCCCTGTCTAGATGTTAATTTTTCTGATAGCAAGCTTCCTTCAGGACCCCAGAAGCTTTACATCCCAGGCACTGCCTTGGCCCTTTCTTCTCTGACTTGGACTGCCTGGGTATGAGCCAGCTTGGATCTGGTGGGCCACTGGTCTGACCCTCTCTCCTTCATTCCTTGCCTCCTGCATAGCCTGGCTTGTCTCCACTCAGCGCTTCCCTGGGATTTCAGCAGTCTTCTTGTGCAGCCCTGGCCTGAATGGAGGAGTTTACTAATACGTCTCTTTGTTTTCTTGATCATGGTTCCCTCTGGGGTGGTTTTTTTGGAGCTTTACCAGAGTATTTGCCTCCTCTAGGTCCTAACACACAGTCTTACCACAGTCCCCTGGAAGATCAGTCAGAAATGAAGGTCACATATCATGATGAAGTAGAAAGATCACTGGATTTAAGGGCAGAGGGTCTAGGTCAGTCAGTCAGTCAGTCAGTCAAGAAGTATTTATTAAGCACCTAATATATGCCAGCCATTGTGCTAAGATCTGGGGGATACCAAAAAGGCAAAAGACCATCCCTGATGAAGACAACCATGCAAACAACCCTGTTCAACTATAGACAGGATAGATAAAAAATAATCAACAGAAAGAAAGTACAAGCACTTAGGGAGATTGTCCGTGCTCTGTTTCTTCTTAGTCATATAACCTTGGTTAGATCATTTCCTTTCTCTGAGCCTCAGTTTCCTCCTTTGCAAAATGAGAGGATTGGGTCAAATGATCTCTAAGGTCATTTCCAACCCTGATTTCTATGACCCCACGATCTGACCACCTGTTGGTAGGTCATCGTATCTCCCCTACTCTCACTCTCTCCCCAACTAACTCTTCAGATCTGAAGCAACAGGCCTCCTACTCTCCCTACTCTTTTCTCACGGGTCAAGGCACTGCCCCCTCCCACTGTACCCTACATTCATAATAATAGAAGAGAAATGATTATTAAGTAACAAATTATTGGGGAGATCTCTGGCCTTGCCCACAAATTTACCTCACCTAGACCATCTTATCTAGGTGGAGTCATTGCTCAGCCCAACTAGAAAAACCTTAGGAAGGGATTCTAGTCTGGCCCATTGTGGTGTCAGCCAGGTCTGAGCAGAGGTGAACGCCCTTTTGTCTAGATTGCCCTAGGCAGGGGTAGTCTGGATAAGAGATAAGTCTCTTTGTCCATGACTGAGTGAGAATGAGTGATTGGAGTGCCCATCCCCCTGCCCCTTATTAGAATAAGCCCACCTCTCATTATCATATTCATTCTTCTCATTAATTGTTAACAAATCAGAGTTGATTGCCACCTTCAGGAACACTCATACTTCCAAGGGCGCATAAGTCATTGAATGGATTCCATGAGGGGTCTTTGGCATTCAAGAGTGACACTGACCCCTTTTTATTAATCATCTGGTAGTGTAATTAATAAAACAATTACCCATAAATTACATCTCTTGAACTTTTATACATCACAAATAACAACAACAACATAACCATTCACACATTTATTTAACACTTTAAGGTCTGCAAGGTGCTTTACAGGTATGATTTTATTTAATCCTCACAACAACCCTGTGAGGCAGGTGTTCTTATTATGCCCAGCTAACAGATGAGAAAACTGATGCCCAGAGAGAGGTGAAGAGCCTGGCACAGGGTCACACAGCTAGTGTGAAAGGAAAGTTTCCATCTGATTCCTGCTGACTCCAAGCCCAGGGCTCTTTTTACTAGGATAGAACAGGGAAAAGGATTTGGTGGTTGGGAGAGAGGAGGGATACTGAGTGCCCGTGGTTGGGGCTGGACCAGCTTACCTAATATTATAATAATGGCTAACATTTGTATAGTACCTTGAGTGCATTCAAATGATAATAATGAGACTTTTTCAGACTGGATCTGTGATTGTGATTCTAATGGTCCAGGCTGGGAATTCCCAATGAGAAATCTCTTCCTAACAATGAAGATTGGTACTTCCTTTGTAACTCATTCTAAGAAACCCTGATCACTGATGATATACCATGATTTCAAAGGACCAATGAATGCTTTCCACCTCCTGTGGCAGAGAGGGGACAGACTCAGGGAAAAAATTGGAACACACATGTTTGGACATGGTCATTGCAGGGAATTTGGTTTGCTTGGCTATATGTATTTACTCCAGGGGTTTTTCTTTTTTTCTTTTTCCATTGGGGGGGTAGGGGTGGAGGGAAGAGAAAATAAATGCTTGTTCATTGGGGAAAAAATTAATTTTTAACAATTATAGTCTTAGAGCTTTGCTTGGGGCACAGAGAGGTTAAGGGGCTTCCCCGGGGGTCATACAGCTAGTAGGTCTGAGGCCCAGAACTCAGGGAGACCCTCTCTCTCTCTCTCTCTCTCTCTCTCCCTCTTTTTCTGTCTCTCTCTCTCTCTCCCTCTCTCTCTCTCTCTCTCTTTGTATCTGTCTCTGTCTCTCTGTATGTCTCTGTCTCTCTGTCTCTCCCTCTCTCTCTCTCACTTTGTATCTGTCTCTGTCTCTCTGTCTCTCTCTGTCTCTCTCTCTGTATGTCTCTGTCTCTCTGTCTCTGTCTCTGTCTCTGTCTCTCTCTCTCTCTCTCTCTCTCTCCCTCTCTACTGCACCATGAGGTCTCTTCGGGGTTGGCATATCGAGTAACATACATTTTCTCATTTGATCCTCACAATAAATTGTATGAGGTAGGTGTTATTTTTATCCTCACTTCACAAAAGGAGAAGTCTAAGGCTGAAATTAAATGACTTACCCAGGGTCACATAGCTAGCACATATAAAGGGTAGAGTTCAAACCCAGATCTTCCTGAATTCCAGTCCAGTTATCTATCTGCTATACTATTTCTCTTTTTTGATTCTCATTGTAACTGCATGAGGTTGGCAGGGATAGTATTGTTATCTGTGTTTTACAGATGAGGAAACTGAGACTCAAACAACTGAAGTGACTTGCCATGGTGACCTAGCTAGTAAGGACTGGAGGCAGGATTGGAATCTAGGGCTTTCCTGACCCCAGGCCCAGAGTTCTCTCTATTATCCCATGGTACTCATTGTGTTCCTTGCAGGTCAGTGGGCACCTGGACTATATGAAGAAAATGGACACCATCCTGAAGGCTGTGGGGATTCGCACCAGAGAAGACAGTACTGGAGACAAGATTTTCTCCATCGCTCCCAACCTCCAGGGCAGAGAAGAGCTACAGCCAGAAGCCCCAGAGCCTCCAAAAGAGAATGCAGCCACTGACCCCAGGGAGACCATCCACCCCAGCTGCCAGACCCGGGACCCCACCTCCAGCCATGAGCTTGCCCAGGACAGTAAAGTCACAGACCATCCCAGGGTCTCCCCCGGGCCTGAACCCTGCCAGCCCCAGAGTCTAGACGAGGCCTGCCATGCAGACTGCTCCACTATCGGCAGCCACATCCTAGGCCCAAACCCACTGGGCTGCCCAGACTGTGCCAACAATAACAAGATAGGCAGCCCCAAGCTCAACTGACCTGGGGAAAATGGAAGATACCACCATTCCAGGATTCTCCCTGGAACTCTCCTTTTATTGTCCTTCCCTCTACCATCTACTCCTGGCAGAGCCAGGGTGAGGGGTGGTGTTTGCTCCAAGGTGTTGGGTATCATGGAGCCAGAGAGAGTTTTGAAGATCTTTGACTCTGGGAAAGCAAAAGTAAGTTCTCAAGGAACTGGAAGATGAGGGGCTCAAAGAAATGAGAGCTTGTCCTAGGCTTGGGTTCAGAAAGCTTTTTATAGGTCAATTAATCAGAGATTTTAAAGACTTAAGCCAATCAGACATTTCTTATACTTCTTGCCAATATCAGATGGAGAGTCCAGCCGAGAAAGATGAAGATGATCCTGGGGTCAGGGTGGGCATGTGGAGAAGCTAGTATTGTACCTCTGTTGAGCCATGTCTGCTTCTCTTGTTTCATCTCCACTGTCTCTGACTGGTACTTGTATATGGAAGCACTTAGGGACCCGAGAGATGACCCCTTGGGCCAGGGAACATCTAGACAGGAAAAGGGCAGTCATAGACATGCCCGTCCTGTTGCTGGGGAAACTGATTGTTACAGAGATTCCAAGACTACCAACACTGTCTGTATACATGGAGTTCTCAACCTGGTGACTAGAGATGAGTGATGCCAGGCAAGGATTTCCTGGAGCAGGGATGTGGGAAAGATAGTCCCTTATACTCATAGGTCACTTTTCACTCATCAAGTGAATTCAGATTCTCTCTTGTACCTCTTGACATCCCTGGGAGGAAGATCAGGGACAAGCTGAACTGTACCAGACGAGAAACTGAGGCCCAGAAGGTCAACTGTCAATTAGTCTCTACATAGGAAGAGAGAAAGATGGAAGGAGGTGGGACTCAGAATAGTCCATCTTTCTTTCTTAGGAGCAGCTGTGGTTACAAGGCAAATGGAGAAACTATTAAACTGAAAATTTGAAAAAGTTGAAGACGTTCTGTGAAAAGTAATTATCTGCCTCCACAAGTCATTGGGACTTATGAATGATAGTACATTAGGGCTAAGGGCGTGCTTAGAGCATAGGATGGCAGATCCTTAGAAAGGAATGTCAGAAATGGGAAGGGATCTTAGAACACAGGATGTCAGGGCTGGGAGGGCC